GATTTCTACAACATTGCTGGTATTTTCAGTGAAGATGCCAACGTTGTCTTACAGTCAACATTTTTGTTACCAACCGGATATCTGAGATCCTGTTTTCCAGCTCTTGATAAATGTGTTGTCCTCATCAGCAGTGAGATTGCTTACTGAGCCATTTAGATATGCTGCTCAGATCATCTTCTGCCAAGCTTGGACTGATAACCTGTGATAACAGGAATTTTCCCGGTAGGCCAGTCCTAATTTCAACTCTTTAAATCATACCAGCCCCAACACTTACTCTCCAGCCGAAGCACCTATCTGTGACAGTAAATAACTCAAGAAGCTCAAGAAGTAAAAAAATGTTAACTACCTAAATTATGCATAATATACATGATGCATCAGTCCACAACCATGAATTCCCCTTAATAAAAATCTTCAAATATATAAAACGCAAAATAATATAAAATGTAAAGCTATACAACAGTGTACAACCTGCACTAAACATTGTGTGTTTGCAGGACTTGTATTTAGCATCCAGTCCAGGGGTCTGGAAAAAACTGCCTCTTTTAACTATCTCCCTGAGAAAAGTGTTTTCTTCTAAGCTGTGGATTGAGGCTAGATTTCCTCCAGTAGAAAAGCAGAATTTCTAAAAGAAAGGAACAGAAAGGACACTCTAAGTTAAAGAAATAATATAGAAATCAAGACAGGAAACGTCCCTGACAATATCTCTAGCCTGGATTCCTCCACTTGTTCCTGGGACAGGCTGTACTAGATACAATCGAAAGATTATTTTTGTTGCTCTTCATTCAAAATATATTTTGACAAAGCATCAGATTTTCCCTCCAAACTCTCTGCTAGTTTCAAGTTTTCTTTGAATTTATAAATGTTTTCCATTTTTATCTGTTCTCTACTGCTACAGTTTTATAGCCTTTTGGTGCATACATTTCAAATCCAGACGTTTTAAAATCTCATCAGTTGGAAGAATGTCAGTGAAGGTTTGGGACTTTTTATAGATATGAAGCAGCAATGGCAAAGGTTTAGTTAGATGGTGTAGTGACTATTTGAAAAAAAAAAAAAGACTTAAGACTTAAAAGTGATCAAAGCAAAAGGTGAATTTAACTCAAATAGCCACCTGATGCACCATGGATTCTGGCTTGTTCAGTCCAAAAGATCAAAAAGAGTCAATATGTAGTTCTTTGTTTTATTCCTCTGTTCAGACAAAATAGGTTGCAGGCTTCACAGGATTATGCTGCTGCTCTTACTCTAATTTCTGCACCTGTTCTTTGACTGATTGACTGTCAGACTTACAACTGATGACAAACAGGCTGACTGAGACTGAGACTGGTAAAAAAAAAACTATATGACCACCCACGGGCATAATAAACTACTTTAAACCTACCTATTTATGCTATGAAACACCCACCTCCCAAGGTAGGATTAATGATCTAATTAAATGCAAAGGATTATCCCAAAGAATTTCCCCCACAAAAATAAGCGATTCACTCATTCATTCACAACCTTCAATGGATATTCCGAAAGCTGAAAAAACCAAACCATGAAACGTCGCAGGTTTATTTTGACCTGTTCTGCTTGAGACTTTAATCAGATTATGCACTTTTCATACGTCCCACACATTCTCTGCTCAGTAGAGATCAGGACAGGAGGTGGGGCACTGCAGAACCCGTATAAAGAGTTAATGTATTAACACCGAAATTCACCCAAACAAGTGAAATGGAGACTCAGACCAGTACCTCTGCATCAGTCAATCAGGCTTGAAGAATAAAATAAAAAGGCAGGATTTAGAAAGAGGAAAATTAAGGAAATAAAAATCAGTTAACACATCCTGCAATAATCAGTTATGACAGTACTAGTTTTGTTACTCATAGGAGAGGCATGAGGAAACATTTTACTTTGTTCTTAGTGCTAAATTTAGGCTCTGAATGGCAAAAAGTTTATTGCCAAGTAGTCTTACACGTACCAGGAATCTCCTTTGGTAATCAAGTGCTACATGCAGACAAACACACAGCTGATTTAAATAGACTGAGGAAAAATATAGTCTTTGAAATAAAAGTTGTGTTATGAGAAAAGAGAAAAATTGTGCAACTTTTGGTAGAGGAAGAGCAACAGCACAGATTAGAGACATACAATATCCTTCTAAATTAAACAGCTGCTGAGACATTTGTATTATATTCAACAGAAAAGTGTTTTCTTCTTACTTTAGAGTCAAGGACACTAGCAGAAAATTAGCCTCTTTGCAAGTAAGAAAAGAGAGAATAATGTGCTAAAGTTCTTCTTTACGCTCCTGTTTAGATCTCTTAAAGTTATCCTACTTAAACTCCAGCTTTATTTTGGAAACTCCTGTCCTGGACATTTTTCTATGCCTCTTATATCTTATTTATAAATATATTACTAAACAGGTTTAAAATCTTCCCGCACTGAAAAATTTTCCTCGATTTATCTTTTGTTAAGTTTTTTTTTTTTACTAGAGCAAGATTAACCTGAAATACAAAGTTAACAAATTTACAGATGAATATTATACTTGATCTCTTTTCTTATGGCTATACAGACTGTTTTAAGTCTATGTTAAAAGAACATCTCTGGCTTTGAGTTCTTTAATTCCTCTCCGGTAAAATGATCTGACCATTATCGTTTATTGACACATCAGTTAATTAGATTCTATGGTTCTTTTTACCCCTGAGTCATTGCCTGGATTTAATGCTGTGTTTTTAACATCAGGTCTGAGGAGGAAAATTACTTTTGAAACAACATCAACTCAAATTTACCATTGGAGCAATGAACTTGTCTTTCCTGTTAGGAGGGAATTTTTAACAGGAAGCAGTGTTAAGCAGCCTGATCATAACTCTACTAGGAGCTGCTTCACATTCATTCTGCCTCTGGGGAGAAGGAAGTCTGAATTTTCTGTCGGTAAAATATAAAAAAAAAAATTATTGGATAGTTTTATTACACCCAGTGCAAAAGAATAGATTCTTTTGGATGTAAACCAAAATATATATAAGAGCTACATTACATTTTTGTATTCAATATTTTTAGCGTTTAGAAGAAGAAAGTAAGTTATAGAAATTTAGCAGTTGTTTTAATTCTTGATTAACAAAAACTAGACTTATAGTTTTAATAGATTATACACAGGAACCTCTAAGGCTGCCTTGTGCTGAAATGCCATGACAATCCAAAACTTAATATGTCAATTAAAAAATTTGAATTTTAAAAGAAAACAGAGAAACCATATTATCCCACTTCAAGGAAACATATACATCTTATTTGAATAGACAGAAACAGAGGAACTTTGAGAGTGAAATGTCCTTTGTACGTTTGTTTAAATTTTTGTCTGTGTCTTTATCCAAAGATAAACAACAAGATAATGAATTTTTTTTGGATATAAGAACAGGAATTGTTGTATCAGTGTTACTGCATTCATCTGAAGTCATGGTGCTCCTCATATCAACAGGATGCCTGCTTTTAATCTCTGCTTCACTGACAACCTCAAAATAGTGATCAGACATTATTTTAAAAGCAAATCTATAGATAATGAATTAATCTTTCAGTCCCTGAAGTGTCATACTCAGCTTTTGTCAGCTGTTTCCTATGGGTTTCCATTTGTACACTGGAAAAAAATCCAAACCTAGATAAGTCTTTTTTTTTTAAATACCGTAAGTGCATTTGTTCTTGGATTGAGGAGGTAAAAGAGACATTTTGCCAATGGAACAAGACAATTTACATTTAAAATAAGAAAACACAATTGCATTGTCTTATTTCAAGTGCATATTATCTAATTATCTTATTTTAAGAGTAAAAATACTCATTCCATTGGCAAACTATCTTATTTACCTACTCAAATTAAGGGTAAATACACCTAATTAAATAAATGTTTACTTATTTCTAGATCAGTTTTGCAGCATATGATATCTAGCTATGCAAAACTACATATGCAGCATAGACGTTCAGCAACCAAATAAACCAACAGCATCTACATATTTTACATCTACTTATTTTTGACACAAATGGAGCCACATAGGTTTCCTGCTGCTGCTTCATTCATAGTAAAAGAAAATGTGTGCTTACAACATTACAACCATACAAGTATATTTAATTAAACAGGCTCTCTGTGGGCATCTTTGTTGCATAACTTCTGCAATTTTTTTTTTTTTTTCATAATTTAGGCAATCTAACATTTTGGATGCATCATAAAACACATAGACACTGGATATATATGCTGGCTAGATAGATATAGAGACCCCAGAATCTTTTTTAGGGCACATGAAAATCTAAACTATGTGTGGATAAACCAAACCATTCATCACCCGAGGCCGGAAGTAACAAGATACATTCATTCAGGTACATTATTTTATTTTTTTGTGTCTAAATCTTTTAAACAAAAACAAAAAAAAATACTTTTAAAAGCATTTTCTTTTTTCAGAACACTTTCAGTGTATCAGCACATTTCTTCCCACTTCCTACTCTGATACATGCCCCCTGAAGATGGAAAAGGTTTAAAACACTTCTCTAGTTATGTTTAATCAGATCATACGTTCAGCTGATATGGGCAAGAAGATTCACAATATATGGCATTCTTGTTGCTCTGATGACTATTATCTGAGTCTCAGAGAAAATCACAACTAAGAATCAGGTCACACACAGGGTGAGAGGGAGAGGTTGTCCTGCAACCTTCCAGAATGTCCTTTAACTGTTTCTTATCTTCAGCTGATGAGCTGTCAGCATTGATAGGCAGACTCATCCAGAAATCAGTGCTATATAAACCAAGTGCTGCATCATGAGGCAGAAGAGCATCCAGTAACGGCTGAAGCTGATTTGTTTCATCGTCAGATCAAGGTAAAATCGTAACATCGTTCTTCATCAGAGTAAAACAAATTTGGTATTACTTTAGATTAGGGAAAGCATTTAAATCTATGTCCCTCAAAAATGAACATACATCTAAAACATTCCTGATTTTTTTTATCAGTGCTGCAGGTTTAAGTGTTTTGATTGATTTTAATTTCTGTGTACAGATGACTTCAGTTCTTCTTCTCACTCTGTTTATGTGTGGGTTTGGAATAGGAGCCACTGTAATCCAAGTAAGTAAAACAGAATATATATAATTTTTCCCCTTATTTAAAATCACTATAAAGCAAAACTAGACTTTTTCTGGGATGCATTTATCTTCAGGACCAGAGGTAAAGGAGAACATGAACTCCAAGCTAAGCTTTTATTGGTGTTGCATTCATGACAATGTCAGTAACTAATATTTATTTTACCAACAGTTAAACAATGATCCACAACAATTAGGATCAGAACAAGAGAATAGCCCACAGGAGGACCCAGATGAGGGCTTTGGAGGCCCAGATGGCTTTCTCAGACCAAGAACATCAAATGCACAAAACATAGAACCAGTTAATCCAGGATATGACCCAGATGTATCAGGTTTGTGATCTGAAATCTGTGAGCTCCACTTTTCAGACAAGATGACTTCTTATGTCTAGTAAAATAAAGTGATAGACTTTCTACCTTGATCTGATCATTTTACACAATTTTAAATGTCCTCATGTCATTAATCATAAAATACATCTCAGATACATATTAGTTTATCCCTGAGCATATATATATATATATATATATATATATATATATATATATATATATATATATATATATATATATATATATATATATATATATATATATATATACATATATATATATATATATGCTGTGGATGTGTTTTATTGCCACATTTCTTTTTACACCTTTATCATGTGTTTCAGACATTCTTTGTGAAAAGTGCCCTGCCGGTTGGACGTATTTTGAAGAACGCTGTTACATATATATTGATACCACAAAGGATTGGATTGGAGCTGAGGTATGACACACTTTATTCTGATTTACCTTTCCTGAACTCATGCTATTGCAGTCTGTGGTTCACAATGCAGTAGCAATCTTTAAAACTCAGCTGTAACCAAAGCACAGTTGTTTCCCAGATATTAACAACAAACATTGAAAAACAGCTCAGCATTTATTTTTTTCTAAATCTTGAATTAAATACCAGGCCTGTTACAAAATGTTCTTTGTTTCATTTGATTATTGTAGAACCTGGTTAGAGGCTTTGATAATAAGAAATGGAAGTTTCTTCTTTCAGTTTTAGACTGTATAAGATTCTAATGCTGTATATGTCAGATTCCTCAAAATGGAAGAGATTCTTTACCAATTTCTGACAAAGTCTGACACTTCAGTTTTTTTCAATATGCTGTCCAAACAGAATCACACTTGGCTTATTGAGACAAATTAAGCTGATGGTCACAGACGATAGGACATTTCTGAGGAATACAACACAAAAATAAAAATATCAATGAGATTAAATTCATAATAACAGCTTCATAGTATTTTTTATGTTTGTATCTATAAATATTTTATTTATTAACCCGGTCTAATTTTACCAAGATTCCAGTAGATGTCAACCAAGAAACTTGGTTGTTGTGAATGTTTGTATTTTTGTATATAGAACAAATTCAGGTTTTTCCTATTATTATTACAAATGTTAACTCAGCCAGTCTATCCTACATCTCTGCCAATTTTGTTATATTTTTTTTTTTTTTATATGTGAATCATGTTGCATATTTTTAAACCTACTCAGCTGTAAACCTCTTGCATTTTTGGGGAAGGCTATTTTTAATAACTATATGTTACATTTTTCATTTGTTTTAAATTTTCCTTCACTTCTGAGCCTCTTATGTTTTTTGTTTTTGTTTTTTTACTTTTTCTGTGTATCAGCTATATTCAATTGGCTTTTCAGTTTACTGCTTGGATGGCTGCGATTTTTCTCACCAGGGTGACAATAAAGGATATTTAATATTATTGTTTAGGTTATTCTTGTTAGAACTGAATGTGTGATCCTTCATTGTTTTAATACCACGTGATTGTGGAAGGGCTATTGCTTCCAACTTAACTGAAACCTGGAATTAAATATTTACTCTTTGACATTCTTAGCCTTTTTTTAAGTCTGTGCTAACCCTACCTCAAGCAAAGCTTTTTCATGGTTTTTGCCCTCAAAAGACTTCTTCACACTCTGGTATTTTACAGGAGATTTCTACTGCAGATCCTTAAGCAGATAACTAACTCATGTGAAAAAATACATGCAGTGAAATATCTCAAATACATCAAGCATCACTAACCTGTGATTACTCTATTACACTCTGGAGCCATTCCAAGAAAAAAACAATAAAAAAATAATCCACTGGACTTTGTTTCCAAGTTTGAAGACGTTTTGCTTCCCATCCAGGAAGCTTTTTCAATTAAAAATGTCAGGAATTGTGCTGAGTTCAAGGTTTTATACAGCAGCCCAACAATGCCTTGTTAAAACATGCAAATTGAAAGGGATGAACAGATCCACCCCTTTGCAATGGGCGTCTTTTGGCTTCTTTTGTTAGCCTGCAATGCCCCATGCCCATCTAAGTGTCTGAAAGGGGTGTCGTTAAAGGGAATTGTTGGCCTGGCTGAATAGGCGAGGATGCAGATGCGATGATAGCTGAAAGGGATCAACTCAAATGCCGCAGGGTATGTTTTTGAAAGCTGAAATCTGAGACCACCACTTCTGTTTAAGGTTGTTTTGTTTTCCAAAATGTGAACATTCTGGTCCTCAAAATAATGTCCTTTGTCCATAAGGTGTAGATGTACTGCTCAGTCTTGTCCCGAGGAGGTCGCTCTTTTGTGTTGGGCCATGCGTCTGTGGAGAGATTGTTTTTAAGGGTCTTGTTTGGTTTGAAAAGTACTGGGATTTTGTGTTTGAAAAACGTCGTACTCAGCGCTATTCCTGACATTTTAAATTGAGAAAGTTTCCTGGACGGTAGGCAAAATGTCTTTAAAATTGGAAACAAAGTCCAGTGGATTGTTTTTTTTATTATTATTATTATTATTTTACTTTTTTGGGATAACAATAACCTGCATGACAATCTTCACTAGCACTCTGGACCTAGTTTTGGACAGTTATACCTTAGCAATGCAATCTGATTTGATCGCCACTCCATTGTTGTTGTTTTTTTTTATATACATTTGTATTACTTTGAGTCAATCAAAGGTGAAAATGCTGGCAGACTCCAAATCAGTCCCCTGCTTTATGACCACAGTGGGCCTAAGCATATCTTAAATTATCTTTTTTCTTTGACAGGTTACAGTTTCTTGTCACAGCTTCTAATACTTTTGATTCTAAATGTCAAGGAATTTATAAAACCTAATCAAAAAGTCCCTGAAAAGATCTGGACCAGAAAAGGTTAAAAATTTGATTTTGAGGTTGCAGATTGGACTGAGTGTGCATTCATGTTAATGTGATGGTTTTTGCAAATCTTCATCTGCTCTTCCTTCTTAGAAACATTGTCTTGACATTGGTGGAAATCTGGCTTCCGCTGAAACTTCAACAGAATTTCTATTCATCAGATATTTCATCTACCTTGAAGCAGGATCTAACACAAAAACTTGGCTTGGAGCCCATGATACAGTGGCGGTGAGGTCAACTTCTATTAAAAAAAGTTGATATTTTCATTCATAGTTAATTACACAAGGTTTGGATCAACTAAGAGTGTCTAAGAGGGGTGGAGAAATTACCACAAATTGGCTTTATTTTCTCAGGAAACCCACTGGCTGTGGAGTGATGGTAATCAATTTAACTTTGATGACTGGGAGAATGGGAGACCACAAACTACCGCAGGAAACGATAAAGACTGCATGCAAATTAACACTCAAGGTAAGCAGATATAAATCCTCCTTATTCAACTGTTTATGATAAAATTGGAATGAGATGTTACTTTTTGGCACTTATTGTTATAAATATGCTGTTGCAGATTCTCGGTCATCAAGGTCATAGCCATTCATTAAAAAGTAAAAACAAAAACAATCCACTGAATTTTGTTTCCAGGTTTGAAGATGTTCTGTTTCCCATCCAGGAAGCGTTTTTTTAATTCAAAGTGCCAGTAATAGTGTTGAGTTTGAGGTTTTATGTTATGGGCTACTATATAAAACTTGAACTCAACGCTATTCCTGACACTTTTTTTTTTGTTTTGTTTTTACGTTTTTGGAATTGTGGTTAAAAACATCATTTCCAGATTTTTTTTATCAGCTTATTAACAGTAAATGAATTAATCATCTGGCTCAGTTTCTCACAATACTTCTTGGACTCTGATGTTTAATTTTTTCTTTTTTTTTTATGAACCTCCAGGAGATAAAGTAAGAGATGCGCCATGCTCAAACAATAATGCCTTTATCTGCGAGAAACATGCATAACTGTGTTCCATCAGTCCGACGCTCCAGATACGTCTCTTCCAGCAAAATTCCAAGCCCCGATGTCATCACATCTGGAAGATGTTTCCTCCAATCTGATTCTACTACCACTAAATTAGTAGAACAAATAAATGCATTAACTTTCCAACAGTTTGTGCCCCATGTGTAACTTTTATTGTCTGGTTTAAAATAATTCAGTTTACACATTGTTACACACAAACACCACAACCGTCTTTGTATAACTTTATTTCATTAGTTTAATGGTGCTCCAAAAATGATGTATTTCTAGACAGACTTCTTCTGTATTTGCTTTATCATCTGACTTTAAAGAAAAGCACTTGGAGAGTGCAGACCTCCATCAAGTAGCTAATTTTCCCCACTGTATTGTGACTTCCACCTCAAATTAATACCAGTATTGCCAGAATCATTCAAAGAATGAGTGATCTGGATTGTCACCAAAATGTAATGGATTGTTCCTTGGACTGAGGAGCACCATTGCTAAAAATTTCATTGAAATACGTAAACAACTTTTCAAGTTATCCCGTACACAACAGAAAAAAACACACGCACAAACTCTCCTTAAAACATCACCTCCTTGTCTGAGGTAATAATGATCCAAAGCCCACTGGCAGGTCCAATTCTGAATTAATAAATTGTGTTAAGATTGTGAGCTATTATTTTAAACAGGAAGTCTATACTGTAAAACACTCCAATGTGTCTGAATCCAACCAAATCTACAAAGAAGAGGCGGCCAAAACCTTTCACAATGATGTAAAAAACTAGGTAACAATCCACAAAAGACACGTGATAGGCCAGGGGTGATGTGTGTAACGAGGCAAATAGTTTTATTGCAGCCCTGTATTAATTTTAACTAAGCAATGTTTAAGAAAGTAACCCTTAGGGCTGGACTTTGAAAAGTTTGAGGTATTTAAAAAGAAATTTGTGTTTGTCCATATGTAAAACATGTACTGAACAGTATAGGAAGTGCAAACGGTCAGAGGAAGATATTTTTGAGAGAGCAGCATCAAATTATAGCTCCTTTTGTGTATATAAGTTGTAGAACCATAAAAAAATATGTAGTGTTCTTATTCCCATAATCTTACTGTTCAACAACATCCTGTAGTCTGATATAAATGATTTCCCATGGTAGAGCTATTCCATAGTCCCCTTGTCTATGGAATTCATCAGAGCTTCCTCCAGTGCTCATCCTCTCCACCAGGTGCCCCTGATGCTGGAATATGACTATGGTGTAAATGCAGAGAATTATCCCTCTTGAATCATTAACAATATAATTTAGACCCTGATTTATTCATACACTGACAGTGTTCTCATTTCTAATGAATCTCCATGTTATATGAGACACATATAAAGATTTATATCAAGGGAAAAATCTATAAATGCAAAGTAAAGCTATATTATTTTAAATATTAGAATCAAAGTGATTGATAACTTAGTGCATATCATTAGTTATAAGGGGTTACATAGATATGAATGCTCATTGCACTGCGATTTGCAATGTGTAAGCATCAGGATTTGAAAAAAATCAGCCCATTTATTAAGCCCACCTTCAGGAAAGGGTAGGGAAGGGTCTCAACAACAATAACAGCCAGTAAAACTGGTAGTTTCTTCTAACTGAGTAATAGTGGGGGAGCTGAGACGGTGAAGGCAGGCCCATCTTGTTTGTGTAATCAGACAGAACGTCATGACGTAAAGTAGAAATAGAAGGCAGAAAAAAGTAAACAAAAGGCATTTAATTAAAAAAACCTTTGGAAGAAAACTAGGCAAAAAAAAAATAAAAGGGGGAAATTGAAGGAAAATAAAATAATCTATAAGTGAAAGAAAAACATGAAAAGTGAAAAGAAAAAATCAAAAGTAAATCTTATTAACTCTTTTAATAGTATAATTATTTTTAATAATTTGTTAGTTTCCCAGTGTATTCTTAATTTTTATTTGGGAAATGTAAATATTTCTTCATTAATTCTTAATTATCTCAGGAAAGTCTTTCACAGCAGACAGTATAGTCGATGATGGAGGGACTTCAGTTTGGATCCTTTCTAAGCCTCAGGCAGCATCCAGTCCGTAACGTCTCCTCCTGCAGCTCTGTCACTGTGGAAAATGAAAATATTTATATGAAGGCCTTACGCTCCAATGAATTTGATTTACATGATTAAATAAAAAGCAAGTCTAATGGAAATGTATCTTTTTTGTTTCTAAAAAAAAGTCAAAGTGCTCTATCAGATCATTAAAATATTTTTCTTCAAACTGTGGCAAAACAGTTTAAAGTCAATAATTACATTAATCTAAAATGTCAAAACTTTTTAGTGAAAAGGATTTTACATATTTTAAAATGTGCAGCCACAATTATGGAGGATAAAAATTGCCAAAATTAAATAAATAAATACAGCATTAAATAAATAATTAAATGTGTCAATAATTAATTAAATGTGAAATTAAATAAATAAATGTGTCATTCATTAATTAAAACCACGTCACTAATATAAAGTGCCACAATTAAATAAATAAATACAGCGATAAACAATTAATTAAATGTGTAATTCATTTAATAAATAAGGAATTAAATATATAAATGTGTCATTAATTTAATAAAATACGTCTTCATTTTATTAAAAATATATATATAATTATTTCAGTGTGCATTTAATTATTTCATGGTCCTGTGTCGCAGTGCATCGAAACCATTAAAAGAATCTGTCAAACTCACCCATCAAAGTTAGGGGGCGGGGTTAACCCGAATCGAGTCTCGAGTCTGTAATCGATTTGCTTCACCTTAATGTGCAGGGTGACCAATCAGGTGTTAGATAACCGCCCCCTAACTTTGATGGGTGAGTTTGACAGATTCTTTTAATAGTTTCGATGCACTGCGACTGCGACACAGGACCATGAAATAATTAAATGCACACTGAAATAATTATATATTTATTTTTTTATAAAATGAAGACGTATTTTATTAAATTAATGACACATTTATATATTTAATTCCATATTTATTTAATGAATTACACATTTAATTAATTGTTTATCACTGTATTTATTTATTTAATTGTGGCACTTTATATTAGTGACGTGGTTTTAATTAATGAATGACATATTTATTTATTTAATTCCACTTTTAATTAATTATCGACACATTTAATTATTTATTTAATGCTGTATTTATTTATTTAATTTTGGCACTTTTTATCCTCCATGAGACTCTGCCACTCTATAAAGAAATATTTAAAAGTAAGACTATTATCTTGATGAACTGACTCAACTGCCCCTAAAAATATCTTAACATGACTTTTCTTGTACAACCAATTAACTAACAATGACGGACTGATGATTTTGGTTAGCTGGAGATTTTAATCCATTAAAGTCCCAGGGCCCTGCCGTTTCGACACAATTTCTTGAAAAACTACCTATACAGATGAATCTTTGAGGTGTTCTTTCTCATTAAAAAACTAAAATATATTGTGACAAACTTATGGTATCCAAACAACATTCCTTTATTAGTTACTGGCACCCCTGGTGAAAAAAAAACAATGCAGCTCTACGCAACCCCACCCCTCAACAAGTTCCAGGAATTTGAAATAAAAGTAAATAAAGGCTCTGGAAAATGAAAGCTTCTGGAAATTATCCTGCCAGGTGTGATATAAACCCTATATGAGATTTCAAAAGCCCCTGGACTTTGATGGACTGCCTCTACAGAGACAAATAACTTCCTCACCATTAGTGGCCATTAAAAAAAAAGTGATTTAAAAACATATTTTTATTTGCTCTCCCCGATATAAAAAATACAATCAATACAATAAATCAATCAATACAATAAAAGGAAGAACACAATTGAAGGGTAAAGATTTAAACTTCCTCTCAAAATTGAGGATTAAATGTCTTTAAGCAGCAGTTTGTTCTATAATTTGTAATAAACATCCCATTGATATGAGGAACACTATGACTCCAGATAACTGCAGTACCACAGATAAAACAAAGTCAAAGATAAAAAAAATTCAAAAGCAGCTCCAACACTGACCAATCATTTTAACAAAGCAGACCTGTTCCAAGTCTGCAGCAGACAACAGCTGATTTCCTGCAAAAATTCAGCCTTGAAACTAGATTCTCAGCGTTCATTTTTTGTTTTAACATATGGGCCCAACAGGATTCAATCCCAACACTCCCAGGCGGAAGTCATGCATGCTGACCAGTCACCGGAATTGATATCACCCTAGCCAGATAACCAAGGTGCATGATCATCGTCATTACCAGGAGCCCCACACTGTCATGCATTTGAGAAAAGGTATTAAATCCTTTGGGAGGCAGTCCTTCTTTACGGCAGCATGAACATGAAGCAGCTGGCAGCAGGCTACATTAATGCTGTTTCCTGTTGGATCAGAAAATTCTCATCAACAGAAAAGACAAGTTCACTGCATTTATCAGGGATAGTACTTTTTTAGCAATACTCAGGCTTCTTGCTGGATTCCATGGAGTCTGAAAACATACTTAACAAAGAGCTGGGCTGTCTGTAAAGCAGAGGTTGGTTTACTGAGGGGAACGAGATGATAGGCTTTAGAGAATCAATCAACTACAGTAAGTATAAGGGTCATACAATTGGATGACTGAAGGCCAGTAACAAATCCGACAGCGATGTGTGACCATGGTTGCTTGGTCCGGATGGTTTGATTTTGTTGAATGAAACCAGTGGATGAGGTGGAATAGCCTCGTGAGACCATCCTGATCTCGCAAGCTTTCAAGATTTCACTCGCTAATCAGTCTGGAGACTCTCCGTTGAAGAAAATTTGAAGCCGTTCAACAAACGAACGTCCAATCAGCGTTGGCTTTGAGGCGGGTTGAGGTGCGACGCAACGAGAAGCGCGACAGTTCAGTCTAAAGAACATGGTGGCTTCAGCCGATGAAACTAGCGTTAGCGTGGCTATCGAACAAGTTTTATCGGAATTACACTGTATTTCTTCACTTAAAGAAGAGCAAAACACTGCTCTGGAGGCTTTTCTCAGAGGAAAAGATGTTTTTGCTCTTCTCCCGACTGGTTTCGACAAGAGTTTGTTCTATCAATTGGCTCCTCTTCGTCGTCGCTCTGTTACGTCATATGCTTCGTTGATCTGATTGGTTTATTTGGCCCATTTATCACCAACATAGGCCAATCAGCTAACCAGTATTTTTGCCCCTTCCCAAAATTACTTCACCGGAAGGTTTCCAGATGGATATGCGGAGCAAATCCATCTGCCGGAGTCAGGTTAGAGGTGGAATGGAACCATAGTGGAAACATAGGTTTGATTTGTGGGACCTGAACCAGGGTCTGGTTCACTCTGCAGAGCATGGTTCACCAGGCCCTCCATCTCCCAGGTGAGCGTAGGCTCGCTCACCTGGGAGATGACACAGATCGGAGGTAGTATGGGAGTAGGTTCATGGTCGGTGCAGTGGGATAGGACTTTGGGGTTAACATTTTTGGAACCTAGGCGATATGAGCTGGATAAACTGAACCATGATTAAAACAAAGACCAACAGGATGAATGCATGGTCAATTCTTATGATCTGTCCAGATTAGTACAGGTTTCTCAGCACCCTACAGCCAGTGATACCATTCTTTTAAGGCTAGCTTGGTAAGCAGCAATTCTCTGTCACCAATTTCATAAGAGAAAATGAGTTTTCCATCTGAATCCGAGCATTAGGGGGGAACTCTGCCTACACCCATGTCTGAAATTTTGACCTGTAAAATGTATTGTCTCAGGTGGTCTGTGACCACTAGGAGGGTTGCCTTGGAGAACCTGTCCTTAAGGATAGAAAATGATTCTCCTCTGTCCTCAGCTTAGAAAAAGGGTTGAATCTTTTTACAGGTTCAAAGGCTGATTAGATCAGAGATGGTGGATATTTATTTTGTAATGTAATCTGATTTAGGCCTTGATATTCTATACATTGGCACAGGCATCCATCTTTCTTCTCTATAAAGAAACTGCAGTTAAGCCTTCAGGTAATCTATAATGCTTCAGCCAGAGTTAAGGAATGGGAGACATATCTTTCCGTTATCAGGCTCCTCTCCTGTGGAACCATCTTCCAGTTTTAGTCGTTGAGGCAGGCATCCTCTCTGGCTTAAAACTTCCCTTTTTGAGAAAGCTTATAGTTAAATTGGCTCAGGTTGTCCTATTTCCACAGTTATGCTGCTTTAGTCTTTGACTGATTGAGGACATAAAGACCCATTTTCATCATATCTCTATTCTTCCATTCTGCAGTATTTGTTAGTTCAACTTCTCTCTGTCAGAATTCTGACTTTAATCTCAGAATTCTGACTTTTTTCCTATATTAAACTGTAATATATTTCAAAATCAGTTAACTTTATGTTTTTTCAGTGGCCCTGATCCGCTTCGGCATGTATCAGTATAGGATGTGACAACTACAAAAAAAATACTCTGCCATATTTTTCCCATATGCATAAGCTCTGTGAGTTTCCCCTGAATGAGGTTGACTATGAAGCTGAAAAATGTGATTTCATTAATCGATTATTGAAATAATCATCAAATAAATTCTGACTTAATCTCAGAATTCTGGCTTTAATCTCAGAATTTTGGATCTTAATGTAGATGAGCACCATGTAGGAAGAGATGTGGGAGCACTCAGCTTCACTGACAAAGATGTGAGTTGTTTGAGAGGGCCAGTAACACATTGATGGAAAATGACGTTTTACGTGGCCAAGGGGTCCCCGGTGATGCTATTTCATTAATGGAGGAACAGAAGGTGATTAAAACAAGAGATCTAGTTTAGTCTCTAAAACATACATGGCTACTGCTTGATGCTAACATGTTTGTTAGCTGTGAGAATTCAGTCAGAATTCTGATTTTTTTTTCTCATATAATACTGAAATAAAATGTAAAAATCAGTTAACTTTTTTAATCTTTTCAGTGGCCCTAATCCTCTTCCGCAGATACATGCCCCCTTAAGATGGAAAAGGTTCAAAGCATTTTTCTAGTTATGGATCGGATCATGTTTTCTGAACATTTTTTGCTTTCATTTGCTTTAGTGTTTTCTTTTAAAATAATACCAAAAATAAGTCTAGAGCTTTTTTCTCAATACGTTCAGCTGATAGGAGCGAGAAGATTCACAATCTGTGGCATTCATGTTGCTCTGATGACTATTATCTCATAGAGAGTCTCAGAGAAAATCACAACTAAGAGTCAGGTCACACACAGGGTGAGAGGGAGGTTGTCCTGCAACCTTCCAGAATGTCCTTTAACTGTTTCTTATCTTCAGCTGATGAGCTGTCAGCATTGATTGGCAGACTCATCCAGAAATCAGTGCTATATAAACCAAGTGCTGCATCATGAGGCAGAAGAGCATCCAGTAACGGCTGAAGCTGATTTGTTTCATCGTCAGAGCAAGGTAAAATCTTGACAACATTCTTCATCAGAGTAAAACAACTTTGGTTTTAGATTGGGGAAAACATTTAAATCCATCTCTCTCTCAAAGATTAACATACATTTCCCTAATTTTTGAGTATTTTGATTTTTACTTGTTTTATCTGTGTACAGATGACCTCAGTTCTTCTTCTCACTCTGTTTATGTGTGGGTTTGGAATAGGAGCCACTTTAATCCAAGTAAGTAAAACAGAATATATATAATTTCCCCTTATTTAAAAACTCTTAAAACTATAAAGCAAAACCTGACATTTTATCTTCAGGACAAGAGGTAAAGGAGAACATGAACTCCAAGCTAAGCTTTTATTAGTGTTGAATTCATGAAAATGTCAGTAACGAATTTTTATTTCACCAACAGTTAAACAATGATCCACAACAATTGGGATCAGAACGAGAGAATAGCCCACAGGAGGACCCAGATGAGGGCTTTGGAGGCCCAGATGGCTTACTGAGACCAAGAACATCAAACGCAGAAAACATAGAACCAGAAAATCCAGGATATGACCCAGAAGTATCAGGTTTGTGATCTGAAATATGGGAGCTCTACTTTTCAGACAAGATAATTTTTATGTCTAGTCAATCAATTTTTAGATTTTCTGCCTTGATCTGCAGATTCTACATAATTATAACTGTCCTCATGTCATCAATCATGAAAAGAATCTCTCTCTTTCTCATTCTCTCTCAGCAAATAATTGTTTTCCGTAATTTCAAAAAATGCTAAAATATGTATATACTTTACACTTGTTATTAATTCCTGAATGACTGCTACAACTGCTAGTATCTTGTTTTATTTCCCAGGTGATTTTCTCAGAAAGTGTGATGTTGGTTTACACACACATTTGCTATTAACACACATTTGTTCCTACATTTTAAACATCTTAGCTGTAACTGCAGTTTTTATTGTTTTATAGTTTTTACTTTATTTCCTGAGGTAATTTGATGCTGTTGCTTTGTTGCATTGCCACACTTGTTCTGACATCTGTATCATGTCTTTCAGCACTTTCTTGTAAGTGCCCTGCCGGTTGGGCATTTTTTCAAGGCAAGTGTTACAAGTTTTTTGAAGACAAAAAGGATTGGATTAAAGCTGAGGTATGATACACTTTATTCTGGTTTATCTTTCCTGCACTCATATGGTTGCAGTCTGCAATTTAAAATACTGTTGCAAGCTTTCGAGGTCAGCTGTAACGAAATCACAGTTGTTTCTTAGATATGAACAACAAACACTGTCAAACTGTTTAGGGCTCAATACATTTTTCCTTAATCTCAAATTCAAACACTAATACATATGAACTCTCCTTGTTTTATCTGATGAGTATGTAGTCTGCTAGTTGCTGCCGGGCCATATGCAGGACTCAAAAAATACTGAGATCAAGAGGGAATCCTCTAGGCGAGTTCAGCGGCGTGCTCCCCAGAAAATGTTTTTAATTACATTATCTGGCCGTCTTAAGGAGCAAAAGCAACATCATCATGACTTTTGAATAGGCTAGGTGGTGCATTTCCCTTTTCTTCTTTCCCTGCCAGACATTACTGGCATTATAAATTGTAAACTTGATTTTTCATCTTGTCATCTTTCTTTTGAAGCTTCTATCTACATGTGCTTACAGTAGGAATGAGTCACAAAAGACATTCCAATATAATTAAAATGAGTTGCTTCATATTTACCTCAGTATCTAAAATAAACACCAAAGCCCCAATACACTATGATGTTGATGATAGTGCCTAATCTGGTGACTGTAAGGGCAAGTTACCACAGAAAATTATTTATTTTGCAAATAAATTGGATGTTTTATTTTGTTTCAGCACAGGACTTCCTGTCCTGCATGATCTGCTCTGTGCCGTCTTGCTGCGTTGAGCTCTAGCATCCCTCTAAATATAAAACAGTCCAACATCAAACACTGAGAAATCAACTCTGAGTAAACATTTCGTTTTCAGCCAAACACGTCGCTAACATATTCATCGCCTAATGAATGTGTTGATCCAACCAGTGGAAATTGTCTGACAACCGGTTCTGACGTAGTTAAACAATCTTTGTCCGTTGTGTTCTCATGCGCTCGTGTACTCGTGAAACATGATCAGGCTCAGCCCTAGTATTGTTCCAATTCAAAAGAACACAAGTCCTAGACGGACAAAGTCCCTGGATGTTGTTCTCACCCTTCCCTCTTTACTGTGTATGCATCAGAGCAGACTTATCCGTTCTTGAGATTGACAGCTGTCCCAGCATGCACTGCAGCACCTTCCAATGGAGCGCTCACAGAGCTCACAGTATTAAGTTAAAAGTTCTCTTTCCTGTTGCCATTGTTCTATAAAAGTACATTTTAAGATCATTTGAGGCGAGAACATTATACTTTTAAGAATCACTATATGGCCCATTTAATGCTGTTGAGAGGACCGCAGCAACCAGCAACCTCAGAGAGTAAACACAGCAAGGGCTACTTTAGCCCGTCTGCAGCAGCCCTTTCTAAGCATATCTGTGTGTATAGAACCGCTGGCTCTGATAGCAAGTTTTTTGTTTTATATGACAAAATGTTGATTCAATTTGTGTTTATCTGACTGTGTGGATCATTATTCCCCGACTAAATGAAAAAAGTAAGAATTTATTATTATCTAGAGGCTATTAATAACAGGAGGTGAAATGCAGCTCTAGACGAGCTGAGCGTGTGGTGATGTCACATGTACGCTTCTATTCCAATTGATCCATATTTATGCTGTGTGATCCCGTTCTTCCCAAGTCCATATTTTCCTGTGTTCTTCTCAAGAACATACTTGGCTAGGACACGAGTCACAAGAACCTGTTTTCTTGTGAATTAACAAACAGCCTTTGGTTTGATGTCGCCTTGCAGAGTGAGTACCCCGCTGGGCTGAAATATTTTGTCTGAAAAGGCATATTTTTTCTCATAGTCATCTACAACATAAATTGCTCTCCACCTGCATATGTAGCTTGATGCTGTCCTCTTCCACTGACTGATGTGACTGACGGACTTAAAAGCCCGCGTCTGTAGCCTATCCCTGAGGGCTGGCACTGCTTCTGCTTTATTAAACAGTTGTACTATTCTTGGCTATTCAAAAATCAAACACATCACAGTTTTCAAAGACAGAGTTCTTTTTATATATATACATTGTGTGCGTGTTAATATTGGAGAAAAACAGGTTTAACAGGAAGGTTATTGTACTATAAGTAAATTTAAATGCAATTAGGGAGAGGGGGTATGAAAAATAAGTTTTACTTCTTCATACCCCTTTACAGATAATTTACATTAATCTATGTCACTTCTCTGGCTTTATATACTGACAGGTTTATCTGGTGGAGAGTTTTGTTTCTATTTATGTTCAGGTGAATTTAGTTAGTAATTGGTGTTTGGTTTAGTTGATGTTAACTAGTCCTTTTGTCTGTATTTGGTTGATTTATTTATTGTCGTTTGTCAAATTCTCTGTCTGAAATTCCTACTCTTTCGTTCACAGCTCATTGCCTTATGTCCAGTTTCAGTGTCATTTATTTTCAGTTTATATATCACAATTTAGACAAAATATAAATAAAACAATACAGAAGACATTACCTCAGTGTTTTCAAATGTAGTTAAGGCCCAATAGAAAATTGTGGTTGGAGAACTTTCCCTCAGTTCTCCAGACTGTTTGATTATAATGCTGAGATTTTGCAGATGGTCACTTCAGTGAGATAAAATGTGTAATTTCAAGTTACATTTATTGGTCAGACTGCAGTCTGCATTGACATGAACAATTTTTAATCTAATCAGAAAAGTCCCTGAAATGTTTTGTTTTCATGATCTGGCTCAGAGAAGGTCAAATGTTAGACTTTGTGGTTGCAGATAGGACAAATTGTTGTGGATTTAGTGTTTGCTGATGTATTCGTGTTGATCTGACTGCTATTGCTAACCTGCTTTTGATATTCTTCCATAGAAACATTGTATTGAACTTGGTGGAAATCTGGCATCCATCCGAAACTCCTTGGAGTTGGCATTCATAAGATATTACATCTTCCTTGAAGCAGGAACTAACGAAAGAACATGGGTTGGAGGTCATGATGCCGTGGAGGTGAGGTCACTGTTCTCAGAAGAAACAATTGATAATTTCAGTCATACTGGATTACACATAGTGTTTCAGAGGGAAGTAGGAATTAACGTAGATGAGATTTATTTCCTCAGGAAAACCACTGGCTTTTTAGCGATGGTACGAAATTTGAAGTCGAAGACTTATGGGGCGATGGAGAACCAAATGACCTTCAAGGTGAAGACTGCATGGATATCAACTTCAGAGGTACACAGATACAACTCACCTGTATTCAACTGTATATGATGAAAAAAAAAATACCTTTGCACTATTATATATTTTATAAATGATTTTCATATTTTTTTTTTTATTTTAAGCTCATTACCGTTATATCAATAGAACATCTGGCTGTGTTTCCACTAATCATAATACTACTCTATGTTTCTGGTTGCTTAAGAAAAATGCTTGATGTTAATTTTTTTCTTTTTATGAACCACCAGGTTTTATTGTAAATGATGAAGGTTGTGAAAGACACTCAGCCTACATCTGCAAGAAAAACCTTCACTAACTATGGCCAATCAGTCCACCGCTCCAGATGCATCTCTTTCAGCAGAACATCGAGCCTCGAAGTCATCACATCTGGAAGAGAATTCCACTACCATTTAATTAGTAGCACAAATAAATGCATTATCTTTCCAACAGTTTGTGCCCTGTCATTAACTCTTAGTTTCTGGTTTAAAATAAATCACTTTACTTATTGTTCACACACTACAACCATCTTTGTATATCTTTATTCCATGAGTTTAACTGCGCTCTTAAAGTGATGAATCCTGAAACAGACTTCTTCTGAATTTGCTTTTTCATCAGACTTTTATGACAAAGCACATATAGCTTTGGGGCCTGACTTCAGATTGCTTTTTATCCTTAAAAAAACCTTATCCTCTATGCTGATAAACATTTAACTATTATAATGAGGAAAAAAAGCAGAAACAAATACTTTTATCACAGCCCTGTATTTTTATATTATATTTTATTTTGTTGGAAATTTGAATCTGTTTTAGTGTGATGTGTATGTCACCATGAACTTAGAAGCAACGTTTAAGACGGTAACCCTTAGGGATGGACCTTGAAAAGTTTTGGGTCTTATAAAACAAATGCAAACTTAATAGCAAACACAGAGCTTTAGCCGTGACACCAACAAAGTAGCATTTGTAGTTCGTTCAGCATGTTTGTGAATGATTAGAGCATATACTAAACTGCATAGAAAGTGTTAAATACCGGAGCAGGATATGTTTGGGAGAGTACAGCGTAAAACTATAGCTATTTCTTGCATTAAGAAATGAAAAAAACTAGCCCACTTATTACAGTAAGAAACCCATCACAGTATGAAGCAAGAGATTTTTCTCACTTTTACACAGGTCCTACTAGCAGCACTAGTTGGTAATCTTGGCAGGCAATTTATTCTTATATTTGTATTATATATAAAATACATTATAATATACATTGCATTTTTTGATAAATGAATGCTTAATTTTTACACTGTATGGAGCTTTTAGTTAAACTAATAATTCTAAGTATTTTAATGGCTCAAATGTTGAGGCACAACAGGGGGGCTAGCCTCAACTGCAGGGGGGCAGTTGTCCTCACTTTCCCTTCTCCGGAGCCACCCCTGCTTTGCAGAATCACTACATCTGATCTATTAAATTTACTTTTTTTTACTTCTTAATTTCAACTTCCTGTGGTTCTTAGTAAAATCTGCAAGCCCCATCTGTATAAACCTTCTGGCCCACCCTCAGAACAGAGAACAACATTAACAGCCAGTAAAGCTGTAAGCTTGACCAATAGTGGTGAACCGAGCTAGCGAAGGCCAGCGCACCTTATTTGTATAATCAGACAGAAGTTGATGAGGTAAAGTAGAGGTAGGGGGCAGAAAAAGGTAAACAGAACGCATTTCTATATTAAAAAAAAAAAAGCCTAGGAAAAAAACAAGGCAAAATAAAATAAAAGCTAGAAATGGAAGGAACATAAATGAATCTATAAGTAAAAAAGAAGAAAACAAACAATTTTATTATTTTCTGTAAAAAAGAGGCAGAAAATTTTTTTTTATTCTAATTTATATTAAATAATCAGTGTTAAATTAAATTTAATTAACTCAACAATATAGTCTTTTAATAATTTGTTAGTTTCCCCAATTATGTTTTAGTTTGTATTTGGGACATTTATATTTTTCTCCTTTTATTCTTTATTATGTCATGGTTAATCCTTCATAGCAATCAGTCGATGATGGAAGGACTTCAGTTTGGATGCTTTCTAGCTCACAGGCAACATGCAATTCCTAACGTCTCCTCTTGCAGCTCTAACACTGTGGAAAATGAAAAAAATATTTAAAACTGCGTTTACATGTATGGTTAATACAACTATTCCTTATTTGTGCACATCAGTTATGTTTTTGATAAAAATCCTTATGCTAAAATGCCATCAGAACACTTATAGTATTGTTTCTCAAATTATACAAAGAGCAGTGTTGCCAACTTAGCGCTTTTGTCGCTATATTTAGAGACTTTTCAGACCCCTCTAGAGCTTTTATCTCAAAAAAGGTCCTAGCACCAAATCTAACAACTCTTTTCTGCCACTGGAGACTTTGGCTCTCCTCTCTCATATCTGCCGTCATGATTCATGCAGCTATTATTTCATACAAATGAAAAATAGAGGACAGAGAAGCAGATCATGCACTGCATGAAAAGTGAGATTTTCGTCCCCGTAAACCCCCGTAAACTCCCGCAGATCTCCCTGATTTTCGTCAGTTTCCGACAATTTGCAACCCGTGCTTGTCCGCGTTTGTCGTGCCACAAATTGTCGGAAACGTACCATGACGTATGTGGAGAGCGATCAGCTGTACTAATGGCCCTAATTAGCATATGAATGCAGCAAACCCGCGCGGCTGGCCAGGTCTGGCTTGAATAACCTACTCAGTATTGGCTGAAACCACTATTCTCAAACAAGTAAAATCGCTCGTGATTGGCAGCAAAACCACACGTGGCCACGCCAGGCTTTAATTTTCTTACTGAGTATTGGACGGAACCACTTCTTTTTAAACAAGTAAAGTCGCTCGTGATTGGTTGGCATATATATATATTTACATATATATATTTATTCATATATATATATATTTATTCATTCATATATTTATTCATTCATATGGTGTGTATTTATGTTATCCTACACTACTACACAATTATTATGCTACCATCAAGGACATGAATGAATTTATACAGGAAATGAAGATTTGCCAGGAAGCTGTTTATGCAAAGAAAGAGCTTTATTAAAACACACACAACTATATACAACGCATATCCAAACACATGCGTTTCTAAAAATTAAAAGTCCGTGAACGGTCCGTTTGCTTCCTCGGGGTTGGAGGTAACTGGCAGCATTCCCTCCGAGGCAGGTCCGATGTGCAGACGCCTACTGTGCGTGGCCCTGTACTTCGACATCGCTTCTAACCGGGACTGCAGCTTAACACAGAGTTCAGTGAGATCCGGCCTACGAAATGGCGGCGACCGTACAATCCATCCAGAGACACCGCCGAGGAAGGCGGACTTCCAGAGTTCCACTTCCTCATCTGCTAGCACACTATGCCTCGCTTTCAGCAGCTGAAAAAAAAAAAAATTTGAATCAGCGCACTGCGTATGGACACAACACATCTATCAACGCACCTGAAAAATAGTCACCAAATAAAGTCTTACCCTCTTTCTTCTGGCCCGACTCCGAGCAGATAGCCTCCGCACGCAGCGTGTGGCTGGCTGCGTATATCTGAAGCTCCTGCGTACCGTCTAATAATACGTCTTACAGGCAGCTGGAAAACAATTAAATGAGAGTGGTATAAATAAAAAATCAAACGCAAGTCACAGTAACAAGGAAGGAGAAAACATTAAAACAAGTCACTTACACACAATGTCGTCTCCATCAACATCGTGAAAATCTGGACTTGCTGATGTGACTCCGAGCAAATAGGAGGCCTGTGAAAACAAAATGTACAGCTATGATCGGTATCTATCCGTATCCATTGCCTTTTACCGCAGAATGAAAGCATATTCTTTAAATCATACCCTTGCTCCGGTTCATAGCGCCTGCAATTAGTCTCCGAGTTGTTAAGACGTCGTACTGCTTCCTGTGAATCACAAAAAATACACTTTAATAAAGCTTGTTCTTGCAAGGATAGGCTAATAGCTAGGCTGCTATTAGCCGTAGCTCAGGCTAGGCCGCTTTTAGCTTAGCAGGCAGTAATCGAACATATATTTACCGCTAGCATCTCTTCTTTGAGTTCGTCTTGTTCGATGCAGAGTCGCCATCGCGTCCAAGAGGAGTTTTACCCCGAAATCCCACATACTTCGCTCCAGACCGCCTGCACAAAGCAAAGCATCCATCCTCCATTGTGGATCCAGCCGCTCCGCTCTGAGTTTCTTTGGAGATCGTACAGAGCGTGCGCGAGATGAACCAGGGTGTCCGCGGATCAATAAAAATAATTAAAAAATCATTCTTTTTTTTTTTTTTATCAAGGCCTTAATTGGCACTAAAATTATTTAAATATGTTTATCAAAGTATTTATAATTCTTTAATAAAAAATGCTTATAAAAACAATTTCGTCAGATATATTATATCGCTCCAGGCGGAGAAAAAGCTAGAGGATATATATATACGTATATATGTGTGTGTGTGTGTGTGTGTGTGTATGTGTGTGTGTTTACATACATACAGGAGTCATGGAACTCTGCTTGCAGCTCCTTCATATTTCATGTACACTAATAACTTGTGTACATGGTTCTTGTTGATGGCATTAAAATCATTTCAAATAGCATTAAAATAGCATTAAATTAGAGTCACTCATTCCTGTATGAACCCTGTGAGCGCTTAATTTAATATGACATATTAAAAAAATCCCACCATCATCCAGCATATGTTCAGTTTCTGCCCAAATTTATATATATATTTTTGTAGATTTTTGTAACGGGGATAAGGATAATTCAAAACTGCTTTTTTTTAATGAACTTGTTCACTACTTCCAAACTCAGCATCTCTTTTCATTCCTGTAATAAGAAGTTTCTTTTGAATGGATTTGATTAAAGTTTAAGTCCCTCGGTATAAAATAAATATTTTGATGGAGATGAGCAATCTGCTTCCTCGTTGGTGAATAACCAATAGTTTGGATCCAATCATTTAAATAAACGGTGTTAGTTTTTTTTATATATATATATATATATATATATATATATATATATATATATATATATATATATATATATATATATATATATATATATATATATATATATATATATATATATATATATATATATATATATATATATATATATATATATATATATATATATATATATAGGAATTGTGCTATAATTTCTAGTCACAGATCTGTTGCTGCTATATTTTAATTTGACGAACCGGAATTTGTCGATGTTCTTTTTCCTGTTTGGTGCGATTGCAATTGCGGATCTTGACCTGGCCGGACCTTATGACCACAGTTTACCAATCTTCTCATGGCTACTTCCA